CTGCAGTCGCCCTCGTCTGTGTCCGAGTAACAGCGTCTTAAATTAGACAAGCTCATTCCCACAGCGGCAAGATAAAAATACATCAGCTCTCAAAGTCAACACTTCACCCTCAACACAAGGGACTTCATTTGCTTTGCTGGATAGCTGCTTTTTATTTTTAATAAATAGTTTAATTATAAATATATATAGAGGTCTCTTCTGCTCATCAAGGCTGCATTTATTTAATCAAAAATACTGGATAAAAACAGTAAAAAATATTATAATTTAAAATAACCATTTTCTATTTCAATATACTTTAAAATGTAATGTATTTCTGTGATGCGCAGCTGAATTTTCAGCATCATTCCTCCAGTCTTCAGAGTCACATGATCTTCAGAAATCATTCTAATATGCTGATTTATTATCAATGTTGGAAACAGTTTTTGCTGCTTCATATTTTTGTGGAAACCATGATACATTTTATTTTTTGGGAATCTTTGATGAAGAAAAAGTTCAAATGAGCAGCATTTTTTCCAAAATAGAAATCTTTTCTAAAAGTCTTTACCATCACTTTTTTTTTTATCAATTTAACGCATCCTTGCTGAATAAAATTATTAATTTCTTTCAAAAAAAGAAAGCAAAAAATGTACTGACTCCAAGCTTTTGAACTGTAGTGTTTATTGTTACAAAAGATTTATATTTTGAATTAATGTTGTTCTTTTTATTCATCAAAGAATCCTGAAAATATGAAGCAGCAAAAACTGTTTCCAACATTGATAATAAATCAGCATATTAGAATGATTTCTGAAGATCATGTGACACTGAAGACTGGAGTAATGATGCTGAAAATTCATCTTTGATCACAGCAATAAATTACAGTTGAACAGATATTAAATTAAAAAAAATTATTTTGCATTTTACACAATATTACAGTTTTTTTCTGCATTTTTGATCAAATAAATGCAGCCTTGATGAGCAGAAGGGACTTTTAAAAACATTACAAATCTTACTGATCCCAAACTTTTGAACAGGAGTGTATATAAATATATGTTGAATTAAATAAAGAGCTTATTAAAAAAATAAAAAGCAGCTGTGCAGCAAAGCATATTAACTCACTTGCGTACAGAACTTCAGAAATAAAATGTACAGTAAAATATCAAGTCAACATGAAATCATAATGGACTTCATTTACTTTAATACATTATAATACAATTAATCAGTGCATGTTATTCTCATTTTCATTTCATTGTTTATATTTAAAAACAATTTAAAAACAACCCAAGGTTGACTAAAGTGCTGTACAGAGACAATATGATCGATAAATAAAACAGACTTAGCACATATTCTGAAGGGAAGGGTGTTTGTTTTCATAATGTTTGTCTAAACTATAAATATATATATAATTAAATATATTTAGTCATTTAATCAATATTAAAATATTTAGTCATTGTATTAGGCTGTAAATTCTCACTTCAAATAATTGATAAAGCAACAAGATATCATTTTTTAAATATTTATTTTAATCTTTTAAAATGCGTGACCTACTTTAATGTACAGTATCTGTCACACTGTGTGAATCTGTGGTGTTTTGGTCCTGTTGTATGTAGTGTGTGATGGTCCAGAGTCTGCTGTACATTTACTGGAGGTAGTGTGTTGTGTTTGTGAAGTGCACGTTCAAGCCTTTCACTGCAGTCAGAATTCACAGTATTTATCCAAAATCCACTGAAATATTAACTGAACAGACATGTCAGATATCTCTGCATCTTCAGTGGATCCTGGAAGCCTCTTCATCGACTCTTAGCAGTCTATTATCTTAACCATCCCTAATAAGTGACTGATTTAACACTCTACATAGGGCACAACTCTGTGTGATAATAGAGACTGAGATATGCTTAACACAGAAATATTGGTTGCAATAGTCTGCATTTCTAACTAGATATATGTAAATATGAAACAATCTAGTTAAAATGGACTATATCAACCAGTATTTGTGTATGATAAGCATACATATCCAATTTTGTATTTAAATGAATAGTTCACCCAAAAATGAACATTTGCTGAAAATGTGCTCATTCTCAGGCCATCCAAGATTAGGATGAGTTTGTTTCTCCATCAGATTTGGAGAAATGTAGCATTGCATCAGTGTCTCAGCAATGGATGCTCTGCAGTGAATGGGTGCCGTCAGAATGAGAGTCCAAACAGCTGATAAAAACATCACAATAATCCACAAGTAATCCACAGCACTCCAGTCCATCAGTTAACATCAGTTAACAAATCTATCATTAAGACGTTTTTAACTAAATTATGAGTCCATAATCCATAATAACGCTCCTCCAGTGAAAAAGTGGTCTGGTCTGAATCAGGAGAGAAATCTGCACAGATCAAGCACTGTTTACAAGCCAAAACAGCTCTAAACAAATACATCAGTGGATTTTGATGTGAGAGACAACAGCAGATGGACTTTTTCACTGGAGGAAGCGTTATTATGGACTCGTATTTGAGTTAAAAACGTCTTAATGCTGGATTAGTTTCAGCTTTTGTCTTCTCCAGATGTTAACTGATGGACTGGAGTGCTGTGGATTATTGTGATGTTTTTATCAGCTGTTTGGACTCTCATTCTGACGGCACCCATTCACTGCAGAGCATCCATTGCTGAGACACTGATGCAATGCTACATTTCTCCAAACCTGATGAAGAAACAAACTCATCCTGATCTCGGATGACCCGAGGGTGAGAACATATTCAGCAAATTTTCATTTTTGGGTAAACTATTCCTTTAGGAGAAAAAAATTGCTTTTCCTTTTGCATAAGCTCCGCCCACAATCAAATCTCATTGGTCCAAATTCCAGCTCCACATTACTGTAAGCATCACATATTGCTTGCATTTATGTTTTCGCGTTCAGTGTGGAGAATCAAAGCACTTGTCACATGTGGCCTGGTTAGGACGCAGTGTCGTGATCGTTCATCACGTGGTCAGTCCTGTAGTTGTTTGCTCACAGCAGGACACATCGTCTGTGCTTCTTCTTCCTCTGCAGGTCCAGGTCCAGCAGCAGAGCCAGGAAGTTCCTGTTGGGATAGATGGCTCGTTTCTGGATGATGCGCCGTATGGCCGCGTGCAAAGGCAAGTCGTGATAGAGCATCAGGTACGCCAGCACCAGCGACGAGGAGCGGCTCATTCCCATGATGCAGTGCACCAGAACTTTTCCTAAGGTGGAAGGCAAAGATCTGGTTACAAACGCCTGTAGTTGTTTGCTCACAGCAGGACACATCGTCTGTGCTTCTTCTTCCTCTGCAGGTCCAGGTCCAGCAGCAGAGCCAGGAAGTTCCTGTTGGGATAGATGGCTCGTTTCTGGATGATGCGCCGTATGGCCGCGTGCAAAGGCAAGTCGTGATAGAGCATCAGGTACGCCAGCACCAGCGACGAGGAGCGGCTCATTCCCATGATGCAGTGCACCAGAACTTTTCCTAAGGTGGAAGATCTGGTTACAAACAGACTTTATGGTTTTAATAGAAGACGTGACAGAAGCCTCTCATTCTTGCCAGTTCCTTGCTGGTAAAAATAACACCCACAATTCATTGCAATGATTCATTTGATGGCCTTGAGCTCACTGCTATTAATACAGCTGTTTCTACAGACACTGCAGACGAGACGCACCTCGAGTCCAGCAACACGACCTTCAGTGAGTAAAACTCTTCAGCCTCATGCTGTAATGCTTTTTTTGAAAGAAGGCTGCGTTTAATTGAGTCTACAGACACTGCAGACGAGACGCACCTCGAGTCCAGCAACACGACCTTCAGTGAGTAAAACTCTTCAGCCTCATGCTGTAACGCTTTTTTTGAAAGAAGGCTGCGTTTAATTGAGAGTAAAAATTGTGAAATATTATTACAATTCAAAACTGCTGTTTTCTATGTGAATATCTGTTAAAGTATAATTTATTTCTGCGATCAAAGCTGAATATTCAGCATCATTACTGCAGTCTTCAGTGTCACGTGATCTTCAGAAATCAGTATAATATGCTGATCTGCTGCTCAAGATACATTTCTGATTATTATCAATGTTGAAAACTGTTGTGTCTTGCTCAATATTTTTATGCAAACTGATACATTTTATTTTTCAGGATGAATAGAAAGTTCAAAAGAACAGCATTTATTTGAAATAGAAATCTTTTGTAACATTATAAATGTCTTTACTGTCACTTTCGATCAATTTAATGCATCCTTGTTGTATAAAAGTATAAATGTCTTTAAAGAAAAAAAAATGTCTGACCTCTAAACTTATGAATAGTAGTGCGTAAAGTGCAAATTTATCTTGAATTAACATGTCTTGATATTTTCACTAGAAAACAACACAAAACTACTTTTTGCAACCAATAAAAAAGCATTTGCAACCCATTTTATTTCAGTAATGTATTGCGAGTGAAACATTCAACGCTGACAAAATGTAGGACAAGACTTGATTTTCTCCTTAAACTTTTCTTATCAGAATTTCTGACCTGAATGTAGAGGCTGAAGTTTAAGTTCATCCTCCAGAGAATCTCCACGTATTCCAAAAAACGAAATAAATACAAAAAAAATAATTTTTTGTATAATTATTTGATACTGTATGATTGCCGAATTTAGAGTGCTTAAATTGCTATTTGGCTATTGGTTAACACATATGACCTACACCACGTCACCTGAAAATAAAAGTCTTTACAGAGGCAGAGCAATTACATTTTTATGGAAGATTATGTAGACTTTTTATTTTTAATATCATGCACTGATTAATCATACACAGTAAGTCCAGGAGCATGCTCAGAAAGTCATTAGGGTCAAGACTGTAGTGCACAAGCTGTTTTACTTCTACTAGTGATTTCTTCTTACCATCAGGAGTGTTGAGAGCTTTATGAATGAATTCTGCTGCCGGTTTGAAGTAAACGTCCAAATCGAAGTGTGTGGAGTCCTCAGCGGGGATCCCGCAGTACACAAAACTAGTGCCGTAGTAGTTCTGGTCCCCGATGCTTCCTCTCTTGGTGTGAGCGGCGTTCAGAATGTGAGTGATGCCAAGTTTCTGCAGGGCGCTTCGGTTCTGCGCTATTCCTCTGACGGGAAAATGATAAATACATCATCAGAAGATGATTAGAAATGACAGGAGATTAAAACCTGTATGGTCACATATCAAAGTCACAATTGACCAGGTTTGCTTTCTTTAAGGAAGAGTTCACCCAAATGTCACCTCCATTCTAGTCAAGTTATTTTAGTATGATTTGAAATAATATGAATAAGATTTTATTTTTATTATTTTTAATTTTAGTTAAATTGTATTTGTGTGTGTGTGTGCGTATGTATGTGCTTTTGTAATTTTTATTAGTTTTAAAAAAAATATGTATATATATATATATGTTTTGTTAATTTTAAGTTTAAAATTTTAGTTTAGTTTTAGTTATTTCACTACTTGAAGTTAAACTACAGAAAAATGAGAAATACTTGGCAACTTGCTCAAATAAAATAATTTCATTTATTTATTTAATTTAGTCATTATTTAAAAAATAAATCAAGAAATAAAAAATAAGTTCATAAAGAAATAATTTAAAATGATTAAAAATATATTTAATTTTATAAAAATAAATATATCATTTTTAAATATTTAAATTTATTTCAGTTAACGTTTTAGTTTTAGTTAACTATAACAACCCTGATTCTAGTTTAAAGCGTCAGGTTTTCACCATCCAATCAATTGCTTATGGATAAAATCTTTTGCCTTATTTAGTCTTGTTGAAAATTCTATTTCACTTGGTAATGCGTCAGTTTATGGAAGTAAAATGTTTTGTGAACGTATAGTTTAAAGTGGTCTGTTGATCTCAGTGTTGTGAGGTCTGCTTTAAAAAGCCAAAACAGTATAAATATGACTTCTAGCTGTCAGAGCCAACAGTCAAGCAGCTTGTATACTCACACGTTGCCGATATACAGGTTTGGCCAGACCTCATCGATTTGGTGCAAGTTTAACTTACACGAGTCCAAAACTTTCTCAAGGTCCTTGACTGACAGATACTCTTTGCTGCTATATTTACGGGCCATCGCTTCTTTCCTGAATTACCCGCCAAAAGATGAAGAGAGTGTGTTTATAATGATCCGGTGCTCCTGACTCGTGGCTCTCGCACTGATCCCACACAACAGCTGTTACCCAGTTTAGTGCTTCAGTGAGCAGATAGTCTTACTGACGGAGACATGATGTACACACACTCACACACTCCACGAATGCACTGCAAACAGACAGATCTGATCTGTATACCTTTTCTGTTAGGTTTTCTAATGCTCCAAAACGGCATTTTAAAAAAATGTGGTCATTATTCACTGATAATCTTCTTTTTCACATCTGCATTCCGATTCAGAAACTGGTGCGTTGGAAATCATGCAGCTCTGCTCCGTACAAGATCTTTTTGGAGATTACCAAACAATAAAAACTGTTATTTTAAGCATATGGGTAGCATAAAGATTTACAGAAATGAAGATTCTCTTGTTTTCCACAGATAAAATGACACGAGGGTTGAGTAAATGACAGAATTGTCTTTTTTGGAAGAATTATTGAGTGAAATTTTGAAATATTCAAAATATTATTCTAAAAATGTTGGTAATGGCAGTAAACAAAAAAAATAAATACATAGCTGCAGGCAAATATAACAAAACACCCCAATATACAAAACTTAATAATAATAAAAAGAAAAGATTTTACACAGGTTTCTGAATTTTCTTATTTTTCCCGGTGAATTATTAATGAATTAGTGAGTATAGTGAAACTTTGAAATATTCAAAATGTTATTCTAAAGATTTTCATTTAAGCCAGTTAAAAAAAAAATGAATGAATGAATACATAAATAAAAACAAACAGCTGTGGGCAAATGTAGTAAAACACTGTAATGTACAGAACTAAACACACACACAATTAAAAAGGTTTGGAAAGACATGAAGCGAGAATGACAATTTTCTTTTTTAGTGAATATAGTGACAATTTAAAACATCAGAAATATAAAGATTTAAAATATATTATAAAGATTAATAAATAAATAACTTGTGGGCAAATATAACAAATCACCCCAATACCCCAAATATTAAATTAAACAAACTATTTTTTTAAATAAAAAAAACTAAAACAAATAATGGAACATGCAGGGACTTTTATTTTTCACTATATAAAAGTATTAGTTAAAGCACATTTTACAGTAAAGATTATTATTATATACACAATAAATCTCAGAATTATCTAAATTTTTACCAAGTAATTGAATACCTAAAGTTAGCTGTAAAATTATTAAGTCATTTATTACATTTTACTTCTAAAACATGAGACTTGAGGTGTGCGAACCTCTCCCGTACACTTTATTGTCATTGATGGTTCCATAAAGAACCTTTAACATCCATGGAACAAAAGGTAAATCTTTAGTGGAAAAATGTTCACACTAAAAAAAATGGTTCTTTTAAGAACTGTTCACTGAAAAGGTTCTTCTGGCAGTGCTGTAAAACCGCTTTATTAAAGACAGTCTCACACAGGCTGGTGATGCTGGAATGTTGTTGGTGTTTATGTACAGTGTGTTGTGTTCCGTACGGTGTGGAGTCACATCCAGAGCCCGCAGCGGTTTGGGAAGAGCCAGCGGTGCGGTTTGACCGCTTTGATAGCCTCCAGTAGAGAAAGATGCTGGTGTATCATGAGATGAGCCAGAACCAGAGACCGATGCGAATGGCGAATCATCGGCTGGGACTCTGTAATAATCGAGTGTTGAGCCGGAACACTCGTGGCAGTGCAGCTTTCCATGAGCGGCGTTCGGGACACGAGTGATGCCCAGCTTCCACACACTGAACCCATCACTGGCCACAGACCTGCAGATCAGAAATATATACAGGCCCCAGAGCACGCAGAGCTTTATATGATGCCCATAAAATCAAACTCATCTAGAAAATAAGTATCTGGCCTGACTTTGGTTTAAATAATGCTGCTGAGAGATTAATGTAGTGTATGATTATGAAGGAGAAATCATAGTCAACTAAAACGGAAAGAAATCATTTTACATTTACTTGAACTTGATGTACTAATATAACTTATTAAAAATTGTGTATAGAAAAATTACAAAACACACAACAAAATGACTAAAATTAAATGAAAAATAAACACTTAAAATATTAATAAAAACTATACAATAATATTGATACTACAATAAGACTTGTATGTAGTATGTTTGCATGTAAATTAGTATCTGTTTTTTTTATTCATGTATATATATACTGTTCAAAAGTTTGGGGTCAGTAAGACTTGTAATGTTTTTTAAAGAAGTGTCTTCTGCTCATCAAAGCTGCATTTATTTGATCAAAAATACTGAAAAAAAACATAATCTTGCAAAATGTTATTATAATATAAAATAATGGTTTCCATTTTAATGTCCTTTAAAATATAATTTATTTCTGTGATGCGCAGCTGTATTTCCAGCATCATTACTCCAGTATAAAGTGTCACATGATCTTCAGAAATCAGTATAATATGCTGATTTATTATTAGAATTATTAATGTTGTGCTGACAAATATTTTTTGGGAAACTGCGATACTTTTCAGGATTCTTTGATGAATAAAAAGTTAAAAAGCAGCATTTATTCAAAACATAAATCTTTCTAACAATATAAATCTTTGCTATCGCTTCTTAACAATCTAACACATCCTTGCTGAATAAAAGTTTTCATTTCTTTCAAAAGAAGAAAGAATATAAATGTACCGACCCCAAACTTTTGAACGGTAGTGTATATTGTTAGAAAAGATTTCTATTTTAAATAAATGCTCTTCTTTTTAACTTTTTATTCATCAAAGAATCCTGAAAAAAGTATCACAGCTTCCAAAAAAATATTAAGCAGCAACAGTTTCAGCTCTGATAATAAAGCAGCATATTATACTGATTTCTGAAGATCATGTGACACTGAAGACTGGAGGAATGATGCTGAAAATACAGCTGCGCATCACAGACATACATTACAGTTTAATGTATATTAAAATAGAAAAATTTTATTTTACATCATAATATTTTCACAATATTATATTTTTCCCTGTATTTTTGATCACCTTTGACCGGTAGAGTGTGTGTATATATATATATATATATATATATAGAGAGAGAGAGAGAGAATTAGTTTTTGTATTTTCCATTTTAATTTAAATTAAAGTTTTAGTAATTTTGTTGTGTTTTTAGCATTTTATTAGTTCACTTTTTTAATGACTAATAGTTTACACCTAAGAAAAAAATAAAAAACACAAAATGACAAACTTTAATTAAAATAAAATTAATGCAAAATAACAAAAACTATTAAGATCTCAATAAAATGTATATAATAGTATCCCAGTACGAACACTAATATTTTGCTATATAGGCTAGTTTTTATTCATTTTTATTTCAGTTGTAGTTATTTTAGTACACCAAAATGAAAATGAGAAATACCATTTTTTTTGTTTGTTTAACTTTATTTCAAGTAATGAAAGTGTTTATAACGCTGTGACTCACATAGCAGCAGCCAGGTAAAGGTTGGGCCACTCTTCATCCACATGCTTTCTGCTCCTCTTTTTCTCCAGTTCCTTGACGGAGCAGTTTCACGGATGCCATCCATCAGACAGACAGACTCGTGGATCTCTGTGTCTGATCTGACCACGGCTACAGCTTCCACATCTACTGCGTGTCTCTGGTTAGATGTGCATCTCATGTCTGCTGCTGTCCAGTTTGAGCTGATACATTTATCTGAAGTGACAGAAGCAGCTGCAGCTGGTCTTCTAAAATTAACATTTAGGCAAGCATTGCACTAGTGTTCACCCAGAAGTTTGCATGAACAGCAACCACATTTACTTCAGAAAAAGGTGCTTTAAAGAAATGATTACAGTTAATTAAACTAATTAATCAAAGTCAAAGGGGTTCAGCTGACTAATAATGTTGCAAAGCCATGACTTCAAACATGAAACTCATTAGAAACCCAGCAGCGAGGGTGTAATTCCCCTGCTGACCAGCGGGTGTCGCTGTGCGCGCGGCAGCGGAAGTGACCTCACCTGCAGTGTTTACACTGAAACACGCTCTTTCTCAGCTGTGCTCGTGCAGCCGGGTCAGGACGCGATGAGTTACCACGGATGCCGCGACGGAGTGACTTTCAGGAGATGCATCGCGATTCGGAGCGATTAACGTAAGTGAAGCGCAGCAGGCTAACCGCTAGCATGCTAACACACTCTCATGCATCTGAACAAAATCACACTAATGACAGTGATGAATTGAAATTGGCGTATGAATCCATTTTCAAGTCCATTCTTTGTTTTATTCAAATTTTTTATCGCTGTGATAGGTTTATGAGTGGGAAGGAGAAATGTTAGTCATTTAGTGTCTGTTCATTTGCATATATTTATGTCATTTGGTCATATTTAACATTTTGTGTTATGATTATAAGCCGCACGCAGACCCTCATTTAATAATCTGGGTCAGTTTCGGTTATAAAAAAAAACACAACTGTTTTAAAATATTTTTTTCCTCGGAAAAATCTAGTTAATTTAACCTGGTTAAACAACATTTTGTATCAAATGCTTTCTAGGTAGGCAGCTCACTAGGTTTTGAGTGTTGAAAGGGTGTAATCGTTCCTGTTTGGCAGGTAGCTGGTCCTTTTCCTTATCAACAAGCTTCTCTGTATCGGGTATTGATTAAAGTCCGCAGTGTAAAGAGCTGAGAGATATAATTATACCTAAGGGTGCTTCACTAACAGGCTCATATTACTTTACTGTTGTTTTCTTGTGTCTGATAAGCAGAGTTGGGTGTAACGCATTACACAGTAACAGTAACATTACACAGTAACAATAACGTTGCACGTGTTACACAGTAACAGTAGCGTTGCACGCGTTACACAGTAACACGCTACACAGTAACAGTAACGTTGCATGCGTTACACAGTAACAGTAACGTTGCACGCGTTGCACAGTAACAGTAACGTTGCCCGCGTTACACAGTAACAGCTAATTTAACCTGGTTAAACAACATTTTGTATCAAATGCTTTCTAGGTAGGCAGCTCACTAGGTTTTGAGTGTTGAAAGGGTGTAATCGTTCCTGTTTGGCAGGTAGCTGGTCCTTTTCCTTATCAACAAGCTTCTCTGTATCGGGTATTGATTAAAGTCCGCAGTGTAAAGAGCTGAGAGATATAATTATACCTAAGGGTGCTTCACTAACAGGCTCATATTACTTTACTGTTGTTTTCTTGTGTCTGATAAGCAGAGTTGGGTGTAACGCATTACACAGTAACAGTAACGTTACACAGTAACAATAACGTTGCCCGCGTTACACAGTAACAGTACCGTTTGCCCGCGTTACTGCGCATCACAGACATACATTACAGACCGTAACGTTGCACACGTTACACAGTAACAGTAACATTGCACGCATTACACCGTAACAGTAACGTTACACGGTAACAGTAACGTTGCATGCGTTACACAGTAACAGTAACGTTGCACGCGTTACACAGTAACAGTAACGTTGCCCGCGTTACACAGTAACAGCAACGTTGCCCGCGTTACACAGTAACAGTAACGTTACACCATAACCGTAACGTTGCACACGTTACACAGTAACAGTAACGTTACACAGTAACAGTATCATTGCACGCATTACACAGTAACAGTAACATTGCACGCATTACACCGTAACAGTAACGTTACACGGTAACAGTAACGTTGCATGCGTTACACAGTAACAGTAACGTTGCACGCGTTACACAGTAACAGTAACGTTGCCCGCGTTACACAGTAACAGTAACGTTACACCATAACCGTAACGTTGCACACGTTACACAGTAACAGTAACGTTACACAGTAACAGTATCATTGCACGCATTACACAGTAACAGTAACGGTACACAGTAACCGTAACATTGCACGCGTTACACAGTAACATTGCACGCATTACACAGTAACAGTAACATTGCACGCATTACACCGTAACAGTAACGTTACACAGTAACAGTAACGTTGCAGGCGTTACACAGTAACAGTAACGTTGCACGTGTTACACAGTAACAGTAACGTTGCCCGCGTTACACAGTAACAGTAACGTTACACCGTAACGTAACGTTGCACACGTTACACAGTAACAGTAACATTGCACGCATTACACCGTAACAGTAACGTAATTGCATTGCATTTTAATTTTATGTAATTTGATTACAGTTACTAATGTCAATAAAATTACGTTACAAATGCAGAGTTAAGAAAAAATATGAAGTAAAATGCATTTTAAAATCATGTCAGTATGCCCTTTAATAAATCACCGGAGAATGCGAGCTAAAATGCTGACGAGTCGTACAACATTTAGAACCATAACCCTAACGATCAAAAATGACTGAACATTTTAAGTTCTTTTCGCTGTTATCAGGAAAAGTTGCTGTTTTCATACTTGTGTAATTTTTCAGTCAATATTAAATCACTGAAAGAACTATGAGTTATTTCGCCTTGCTGCGGGAGGGCGTGGCTATCGATGGGCGTGGCCACAACTGTGATTATGTTGATGTGCAAAAGTATATATTTAAAAAATCGACTAGGTTTGAGTGAATGACTAGCTTGATTAATTAGTCTTAACTAGGATCCTTTATAATTAGACTTTTATCATTTATAATCAGCCTGTTTCCGCAATGGAGAAAAAAAAACTAAATTCCAAGTTTTTATCTCAATTCACACTTTTATTCAGAATTGCGAGATATAAACTCAGAATTATGGCTTTTTTTGCTCACAATTTTGAGTTTACATTTTACAATTTTTGTTTCACCCTCAAAATAAAAAATTTAATTGTAACTTTTTATCTCACAATTCTGACTTATTTTCTTGCTATTGCAAGTTTATATCTCGCAATTCAGACTTTTGTTCTCATAATTTCGGGTGTATATCTCACAAGTAATATGCAAGTAATAAACTTGCAAAATTGTTAGATAAAAATTCAGAATTATGAGGGAATTTATCTCAAAATAATGAGAAAAAAAGTCAAAATAATGAGGAAAAAAGTCGCAGTTAACTTTTTTTATGCACTATTTTCCTGGAGCCATACATGAACACAATTTATATGATCTACTTTTATGGTACTTTTCTAAATTCCTTGAATTGAATTTGGTTGATAAAATAACACCAGTGACAACTGCAATAGTGCAGCCAGTGACTACAACTCAGTGAAGGTCATTTTCTGACATTTAAATGTGTTTACTATTTACTTAATTATTTGTTTAAAATATGCAAAGTCTGATACAGACATGCACATGTTCAGACGTGATTTCACACGCATCTCGTATCATCTTGTCACTGTATTGCATGTTAAATGCTGTATTTTAGCGTCTTTTTGGAAACGTCTCTGTGTTTCGTCTGTGAGTGAGACATCAGCAAAAAAAGACTTGCTTCTGTTCCTGTGGTGTGTTAAAATGAAGTGTTACATGACCGGGTGCTTTCTGAAGGTTTGTGTAAATGTGGTTGTGTTTCTAAGCATTAAGGATCTGTCGCTTCGGAGAAAAGTTATCAGACGTTCAGAGGGAAAAGACAGACACGCTAAGTGTTTTCTGAGAGCTAATGAACCCAGATTCAGAGCAGAACAAGACGTATTCAAAACTTACTCTTTCTGTTGTTTTTGACTCTTGTTGTCCACAACAATATTTGAAGGCCGACACTCGTAGTTTCTGACCATTAAGTTTCAGGATTCTTGAAGTTTTAAGAGTTTTTCTGGATTCTTTTAAAGCAATGAATTTGCATAACTTTTCCAGTCATCCCTGATTTACTGGGCAAATGAGTACAAATATTTTTACTCACAATCTCTACCTGTTTGAAGAGAGAAAAAAAATAGAAATTGGCATAAAAAGAAATACCCTTAACACTGTAAAAAGAATTGTGATCACATAATTCACATTTGATTTTCTTTATTATTTCTTTAATGAAAAAATTTATTAAAATAATTAACCAATTTCAGCTTTTTTTGTAATATGAGATTCAACTCAACTTTTTAAGTCAATTTAATAAGTTGAAATGACTTGTTCAGCCAATTTGATTACTTGAAAATTTAAGGAAGCCACTGAACTTCGGTTTTTAGGTTAAAGTAATTTTTTTTTGACAGTGTTGTCATTTTAAGATTGTATTAATGTACATGACATAAAAGTGAAATCACACTTTTAAAATGAAACTACCTCATATATCAAAGTTTTTCCAAGACTGTAGGAATAATGGTTATATACTGTTTATTCAGAGACAAAACATGTATTAATTGGGTGAATTCAAATAAGAAATATCTTATTTTAATGCTTGTCTGTCTTATATTAAATCATTTTAAGTCTTGATAGCCACCCTGAGAATCACTGCTTTGCCAAATGTCATTTTAAATTATATGTATTTATTTTTTATTTTTTTTGCAGTTATGAGCAATTACATTTTTCTTCCATACTACGTAATTGGCCTGTAATTTGTCAATGCAAAGTCTGGTCTTCATGAAATTGTTCACGTGAAAAATGAACAAAATGACTTGGACCAGATGACACAGTAGCGACACACATCATAATTTATCTCAGGCTGCATTATAACTATTTCCTAATTGGGAATATGATCAAAGATTGTAAATGTGGAGGTGTTCAATTTTATTTTTACTCGGCATAAACTAACAAGATGAATGAAATGACTTGTTTTTGGCCAAACAAGCTTCAGACATCAAGTCAGTAATATGATCCGATCCTAATAAACAGCAGGTTTTTCAAAGCTTTCAAAGCTAATATATAAATAATATCATGTTTTTGCCAGCAATTGGCATTTGTGGCTGCATTTTGTGATTTGATTTTCATCTTGTGCATTTAAGAGGCAGTTTTTCACGTCTAACAGATACTGCTTACTCAGACTAATCCTTAATGAACGAGTCAGAAATCGAAGCTCAATCCAAGCAGCACAGCTGGGATTCAGTGCTTCAAATCCCTAGTAGTGCACAATCTTGAGATCCTATGCTGTGAATGTGGCCTGTTTTACTGGAGTATCAGCAGATGTGCTTGTTTACATCCGGATGTGATGTGCAAGGACATCTTTCACACAAAAGTTGTCCCTAGTGCCTTTTAGATATCATAGTCGTCATGTTTCTGTTTTCTGTCTTCAGTTCCTGTGAGAGGATACGCGAGCGAGAGATGGCCGGTAACGTATGTCACTGGACCCCGAAGCACGTGGGCCGCTGGCTGCGTGAAGAGGGCTTCTGCGATTACGTGGACCTGCTGTGTAACAAACACCGTCTGGACGGAACCAGCCTGCTGACGCTGAGCGAGTACGACCTGCGCTCTCCTCCGCTGGAGCTCAAGGTCCTGGGAGACATTAAACGGCTGATGGTTTCTCTCAGGAAGCTGCAGAAGCAGAACGCCGACGTGTTAGAGGAGCTCGGTCTGTCCTACGACGGACACTCGCCTCAGAGCAGCACAGGTTTGTGTAATCGCGGTTTTTAACAGCATTTACATTAGAGAGCAGGACTTGAGCTTAACACTTGTAGAGGTCTGCAAGTGGGGCCCGACACACTGAATCCATTCGGGCCGGGCTCGGGCCATTTTTTTTTTTACAGTTCGGGCTTGGGCTCATTTAGCTTCTCTCCTTTTATTGTGCCCATATACGCACAGAGCACACATAGGCAACCCTGGACCACAAAACCAGCCTTAAGTAGCTTGGGTATATTTTTAGTAATAGCCAAAAAAACTTGCCCATTACATGGGCCAAAATGATTGATTTTTCTTTTATGCCAAAAATCATTAGAACATTAAGTAAAGATCATGTTCCATGAAGATATTTTGTAAATTTCCTACTGTAAATATATCAAAACTTATTATTTGATTAGTAATATGCATTGCTAAGAGTTTCATTTGAACAACTTTAAAGGCGATTTTCTCAATATTTAGATTTTTTTTTGCACCCTCAGATTCCAGATTTTCAAATAGTTGTATCGGCCAAATATTGTCCTATCCTAACAAACCATACATCAATGGACAGCTTATTTATTCTTACAATGTCATATCACAATGTTAGTTTAAATGTTTAACCTATATAAATGTGCGCTATGTGTCGTGTGTGTGTGTGTGTGTGTGTGTGGGAGAGAGAGAGAGAGAGAGTGTGTGTGTGTGTGTG